TTCCCATTTCCAAGAAAGTTGATCAAACAGAATGTGGAAATTATCAAACAACATCGTTACTATCACATGCAAGCAAAATACCGCTGAAGATCATCCCCAAGCGGCTGTAACAATCCATTGACAGGGAACTTCCAGAAGTTCAAAGTGGGTTTAGAAGAGGCCGTGGCACCGGGGAGATCACTGCTGATGCCAGATGGATCCTGGCTGAAAGCAGAGACTATCAGAAAAATGCCCATCTTTGTTGTACTGACTATGTAAAGGCATTTACTATGGATAACATTGAGAAGAATGAGAATCCCAAGATGCTTAATTTAGCTCATACGAAATCTATACCCACACCAAGAAGCTAGTTGTCTGAACGGAACATGGGCACATATATGATTTAAAATCAGGAAGAGTCTGCAGTCAGGAGTGTTATCCTTTCTCCATTCCATACTGATTAAATCTGTATACCCAGCAAATTATTAAGAGATGAAGAAGAATGTGGATGGGAGAAGATTCATCAACAACCTTCATTATGCAGAGGACAAAACTTTGTTCAAAGTGAGGAGGATCTGAAGTGTTTGTTGCAGATCAAACACTGCAGCCTTCAATTTGGATTGTATCTCAACACCAAGAAAACAAAGTTCCTTACCACTGGGCTAAACACCATGATAGGTGGAGAAAGGATTGAAATTTGGATCCACAATCAACATAACATCCTTGGTATCAGCAGTCAGGGGAACGAGCAGATGTATTGCTTTGGGCAAATCTACTGAAGAGCAATGTTATCAGTTTGAAGACTAAGGTGTGCCTGACTCAGGCCATGGTGTTTTGAATCACTAACTAGGCATCCAAGAGTTGAACGAGTATGGATTACAGAAGAATTGTTGACATTGAGTTGTGGTTTAGAAAAGAGTACTGAATATCACATGAGCTGTCAAAAGAATGAAGAGGTAGGTGTGTCTTGGAAAAGGTGCAGCCAGAGTACGCACTGGAGGCAAGGATAGCAAAACTTCCCCTCTCATACTTTGGACATGTTGCTAGGAGGGGCATTTCCTTGGAAATGGTTATGCTTGGAAGGTCAATGAAAGACAGGACCCCCAATGAGGTAGCCTGAGAAGGTGACTGCAGCAATGGGCTCAGGTGGATCAGAGATGGTGAGGGTGATGCAAAAGAGGGCAGGATTCAGATCTGTTGTTAAATGGGGTTGTTGTGGATCACTCTTGGCTTGACAACACCTAACAACAACAACAATATGATTTCATAATTTTTTTAGATGTTATGTATGGTTTAAGGAGATGTGTGTAGCTGTCTAGTTACAAACGAAGGAGTGGACTACGATGAGTTAAGATTGTGTATGAATCTCTGGATTCCCAAGAGAATCCAGAGATCAACCCATCTATCTATGGTCAACTGATCTTTGACAAGGAGATGAAATCAGTGAAGTGGGGGAACGACAGCCTTTTTAACAAATGGT